TTACCCACACAAGGGCGTATTTAAATTGTTGAGCAAGTGTGCGATGAATTGCATGACACACGTGCTCAACTGTTACGCCTTTTCTCAATATTAGACCATCCTCAAAGTCAGGTGGTTGGCCAGGCTTTTTTGTGTATACCCTTATCAAAGACAGATGTTCCCATAAGATTTCCAGCAGAAAATCTAGATTCAACTTCATATTACAACTATAGAAAAAGGAATTACAATTAGATACAAAAAACTTGCGAGAAAGGCATAAAGATTTGATATGCGGGAATGTGAGTATGGGTTTGTGAAAAATGTCAAAATATATCTTATATTACCTAACTACAACACTATTAGGTTGCCTAGCGATTCGATCGACTTCCTCTATCGATATTTGATCTATTTTATTATATACATAAAGGCAGGGCAAGTAGACTCGGTTCGCATTGATGACATCGATCAATTCGTCCGCACTGCAATCCTCGCGAAACAACACCTCAGCATTGAAGATTTTATACTCGTGAAGAATCATTTGGACTAGTTTTTCGTCTATTTTCGTCAGAGGACATGTTGAGTTAAATGCTAATCCGCCGCCTTTTTTCACCTTGAAATATATATTCGGTTTCTTCTTATTGAGTCTTATCCCAACTGATTCCAATTCTTTTTCTAAGAGTTGTCGTTGAACGTCCTGTTTGGTCGCGTCCAACATCATAAGAACTAAATCAGCTGTTCTAGCAACAGCTATGACTTGTCTACCTCGTCCTTTTCCCTAGGATAACGCAAAGAATCATTCGACAATGCGAAAGCGATGATTGCAGAGAGTAATTTCCACCTGTATAATTTTTTTACCTGTGCTGCTCCTTCGATTATACCAGGCAGATCCAGCAATTGTATATTGGCACCTTTGTATTCGATAACACCAGGAATACATGTCAGGGTAGTAAATTCGTAGGACGCAGCCTCTGACTGGGTGGCAGTTAAAGTACTGAGTAAGGTGGATTTGCCAACTGATGGGAAACCGATCAGCGCGACTCTAGCATCTCCCGACTTCAGTACATCAAAACCTTCGCCCTTTTCGGACTTTTTCGACGGTTCCAACAGCTGGGATCTATACTTGGCAAGTTTCGCTTTTAGCAAACCCAAATGGTATTCAGTGGCTGTAATTAAATTTTATAAATATATGTATTCGTCTCGAATATACATTTGCGGATATTCTCCGTTTTTTTAAATTTTTATTTAAGTAATATATTAGAGCTATAATATCGAGCAGTAATATAGGATAGGTACATAGGTGTAGGTTAAGACATGTCGCAAGTCGCAATATCGATGAGATGCTTACCTTTGTTTTTCTGCGTTCGTGCGATTTCCTTCTCAATTTCCGAGATCTTTTCCAGTATTCCCATCGCGATACGAGATAAAGTGTTACATTTAGAAAGGAATCAAAATGTCAAACAACTTTGCCCAGCGTGTGCGATGCGATCACTTTGATTCTTAATTATGAAAACCTCTTTCGAATAAGCTGTGAACCACTAGGATACAAATTTTTATCAAGATACATAAAGACGATCTTGGTCGTGTTTCGATGGAGCACTGATACAGGAGACACGAGACACGAGACTTCCATCGACGACGATCATAGTCATAGACATAGTATATCTAGACCGAGTGTTGAATATTTATATCGTGGTCTGGAAAATGTCCCCACTCGATGGCATTGTATGCAGATAGGAATTTTGAGTGATGCCAATTGATAGCGACATTTTTCGATTTATCCCGTCGAATTGATGCTCATGTCTCTAGTAATCATTTTCTATGATTCTTGGCGAAACCGACTCGTGTGTTTGTGCTGCACCTCTCGGGGAAAAGAGAGGTTACGTTCTTTCCAAGTCACCGTTTTAACGCAACAGAATGTACGAGGACTACAACGAGGTATCGAAATATACTATTGCACAATATAATTATTATAGAAAGCTTAGTGTGAAGCTTAGTAGTGCTTTAACATAACTCTATATATATTTGCATGATCTTTTTGTTTTAAAAATTATTTTTTTAATACACACACTCTCTTTCACAGTATGACGCCTACGACGATTTCGGACCGCCGGATGTGCATGATCAGTACGATCGACAGAGCTATCGGCAAGTACCCGAGGTGGTACGCAATTTCCTTATTTTCTTACGCAATTGCATCAACGAAGGCATGATCTTCGAGATACAGAATTTGTATGAGAACTCGTTCCCCAAAATCTCGGAACAGCTGTTTGACAAGTCGCCGTGGCCGGACGCATCGACGATCGCTCATATCGTCGACAATGATCCAGTCTTCCTTACTCTGTACAAGGAGCTTTATTACCGTCACATTTACGCGCGCATGCAGGGCCCTACACTGGAGCAGCGTCTAAACTCCTTTTATAATTATTGCGATCTCTTCAACTATATTCTGCATCCGGACACTCCGGTGCAATTGGAACTGCCCGACCAGTGGCTGTGGGAGCTCATCGATGAGTTTGTCTATCAGTTTCAATCGTTCGCTCAATATCGCGCCAATCTCTCCAATAAGACGCCGGACGAGATCGAGAATCTGACCGCGCACAACAAGATCTGGGATGTCTTGTGCGTATTAAATGTCCTGCACTATCTGGTCGACAAATCGAAGATCAAGAGCCAGCTGGAGGTGTACGCGAGCGGTGGTGATCCAGATTCCGTGGCCGGCGCATTTGGCAGACATTCTCTGTACAAGATGCTTGGCTACTTCTCCCTCGTCGGTCTCCTAAGATTGCATTCTTTGCTGGGAGATTATTATCAAGCCATCAAAGTCTTGGAGAATGTGGAGCTTTACAAGAAGAGTGCGTACTCCCACGTACCTGGCTGTCAGATCTCGACGGCGTATTATGTAGGCTTCGCGTACATGATGATGCGCCGATATGCGGACGCGATTAGAACATTCTCCGGTATCCTACTATACATCCAACGTACAAAGCAGCTGTTTGCAACGCGGAGCTATCAGAATGATCAGATCAATAAACAAACCGAGCAAATGTACCATTTACTCGCCATCTGTCTAGTCTTACATCCACAGTGCATAGACGAAGGCTTGCAGCAGGCTCTACGGGATAAAAACTATCACGAAAAGATGTATAAGATGCAGTACGGCGATCTCACAGAGTTTGAGAATTGTTTCGTTTTCGCGTGTCCTAAATTCCTGTCTTTAACACCACCGAATCCGGATAATCCTAACGAAGATTACGTCCGTGAGGCCATCAAGCATCAGACCCAAGTCTTTATGGACGAAGTGGTGCAGCAGAAAATGTTGCCGACCATCCGTTCATACTTGAAGCTCTACACGACATTACCACTGAGCAAACTAGCCACGTTCATGGGCAACAATACTAGATCTGATATAGAGGGTTGGGACTTGGACAAAGAAGTCAATGCTTTAACGATTCATTTATTATGCTTCAAGCACAAAATGAAGAATATTGTTTGGACAAAAGGTACATCGGGATTAGACGGAAAATTTCAATCCGGATCTGAGGTGATTATTCTTATATTATGCCATTTATATATTGCATTAAGATTGCAATACACCGATATACTATGTCTATGATCATAGTGCTCTTTCTCCAGTCCTCCACTAGATCAAGACCATAAAGAACGAAGACTAGCGATGAGAACGTCAACTCGCGTACGGGAGAGATTCTTTCGTACATAGTGCGATTGGACACTCGTATCGATAGGTGCCTAGGGTAACTAACTCGATTGACCAATTAGAGATTTCCTATGTTCAAGTGAGCCAATAGGCAATTTGTCCAATTGAATACTATCTTTCGCGTATAGGAGATAGGTGCCTAGGGTAACTAACTCGATTGACCAATTAGAGATTTCCTATGTTCAAGTGAGCCAATAATTTGTCCAATTGAATACTATCTTTCGCGTATAGGGAATATTTATATATATATATATATATATATATATGTATATTAATATTTAAATTTTAATTGCCAGCAGTATATCAAAAGTAATTTATATATTCACTCTCCTTTATATGTATATATCTAATGCTTTCTTCAACAATACAAATCTTATTATTGATTTCTTTAAAGAAAAATGATACATTTTTCCCTGATTTATATTTTTAAGTATAAGTACAGTTTCATAAACTTGATATCATATTTTTTTTTTCTTTGTCTAAGGCATTACAAAGTATAAGTTAATCTGCATTTCTGCTATTTAAATTTCTGGAGGACATACATATTAATCAATAAACTAACATAATTAATAAATACTTAGAATATATTACTATGAATGTTTTATGCAAAGAAAATTTTCTTTTTCAGCTGGATTTCTATATTGATCATGATATGATTCACATCGCTGATACAAAGGTAGCACACCGTTATGGAGACTTTTTCATTCGCAAAATACTAAAATTTGAAGAATTAAATCGTAAGCTGCATCATATAAAGATTTAACTTGTATAATATTATACAATCATTATAAACATTTTCACAATATATGTTTGAAAAAAAAGAGGGGAAATACAGAGATTTAAGAAAATAAATATTTATTCTTCTATTCAAACATTTATCATGAAAATTTCCCAGCAATTACAATAAAGTATATATAATCCACGTTTGTGTAACAATATATATTATAATGCAATATGTAGAACAGCAATGTATACGTACAAAAATCCACATTCCCATTGTAGATTCATTTAGATACAAATAGTATGTTATTCTTTATGTTAGGCAAATAAAATCGGATATGTTTATAACGCTAAATATATCTAGTAAAAATAGAAGACAATATATCTGTGAACAGGCAACTATTGCGAACATGCAATATGTTCTCTTCACTTTCTATGTAAATTATTATAGATGTAATTCTAATTTTTTCAATTTTTTACGGATGCTAAAATATAAATTTAATTACAAAAGAGAGAGAAAGCACTAAAATAATGTTTAAAATATTACATATATATATTATACAACAATATGCATCAAAATTTATATTATATCATAACTATAGACATAAATAATATGCTATAAAACTTTCGTTTTATTTAATTCATCATGATATTAAATTTTAGTAAAAATATAAGCATCACACACACATCCATCATAGATAAAAAGAATGTATGTTTTTTTAGATCGCATCAGTCGCTAGTATCGTTAATGTTAACTACTCATGCGGATATAGTTTTATTTTTTCTTTCTTGCAACATTTTACACGCAGCGGCTAAAATATTCGGCTTCATCGACGCCGTCGGTACGTAACTGTGCAGATAATGGAAAAAACGATTGCTTCGTTTGTAATTGATAGTGGAGCGAAATTCTTCCGCGCGACATATTGTTCGCACTGTCGGAAGATAATCTAACGCCATGATTCGTTGATCTAAACATCCGGACGTGACGTGCGATAGTGCCAGATCCACTCCTCGGTTCAGTCGTTTCCTCAGAATAATATTATCTTGATTTTGCATGTGTTCATTTGCATTCGAATCAATGCAGAATATTTGGTCACTAATAAAAGTTGTTATATCCGCTTTGAGATCGTGCGAAGCGGAATAGAACGATATGTTTTCAGCCAAGGATAAATTAGGTTGCGTTTTCTCCTCCGATATATTTAACATTGTGTCTTCGATGTCGATTAAAGTCGACACTAAAGATAAACTGTCCAAATTCTCCGCTAAATTATTCAGTACACACGCAGTATCATTGAACTTTTTGGTATTTGTACCTTTTCTTGTCCTATGCCTATTTATCATCTTAATCGCAGGCTTGTACAGATAACGTTGCACGCTCTGCCAAAGCGACGACTTAATAGTCGTAGATCGTTCGGATAATACTGGTGGACCAGATAGTAGCAGATATTGTGACTGGAGCAATGCCTGCCGTAGATCCCCCGCTTGTAGTAATTTCTAAATAATGGAATAATTTCGAATATATTTTTTGAATATCACGCGTCGCGCGAAAAGTACGATCATGTCGAATAACACTTGAGTAATTTTAATACACAGATTTAAATTCGAATGTCAATTTATAATCTGACGTTTACAGATTTCTTTCTGTACATCAGTCTTCCAATTTTCAAAATTCTCATATAAATACCGTAAGTTGCCGAGATATTGCAGATAATATATATATTTTGATAAAAAGATGAATCTTTCACAACATACTATAAAAGAAGATTGCTTACCATTAGGCAATTATGCGGAAGCCTGCGATTCGTCTCCGCCAGCGAAATTAATTCCAGCAAGGCAGATACTCTGCTACCATTTACTTTCTGAAAATAAATTTTGTTTTGCTGCGGTGCCATTTTGTTCAAGTGAGGACACATGTCTCTACACGTCATGACAATTGGTCTTTTAGTCTTTGATGCCAAATGATATGCGGCAGAGACGAATCCTTCATCTTCTTCGAAAATAAGATCAACATCTTCTAGAAGAATTAAAGAGTTTTGCGATATCTTCGGAACCTCATTCTCATTTGCAATTCGCTCAAATGGAGATTTATGTTTGCTCTTTTTAATTCTGTGCGACTTCGTGGCTTCCTCCAATTCCTTTAAGATTTTCTTTCCCGTTCGTCTAGAGGACGCGTTTACTTCAAGTATACTGTAAAAACAAGCTGTGTTATTTAATTTATCTTAAACAATGCAATGCTAAAATTTATTTTATATGAGAAAGAGAATATTATCTTACATATTATCACAATTATTATTAGTCACAAGTAAACAAATGCTTTAACATTTCATTGTTTTATATATATATA